ATTACTCTCCACTTCTGTTCAAACTTCCTTACATTACACCCCCCTCATTATCAATTTAATAACCTTCCCCTTATATCACCCTGCATAGCATTTTACAATTTCACATGACTGGCTCGACTTTCAAAAAAGTAGTAGTAAAAATAATATACATAATATCAATCAACCCTTTTCCAAGACTCTAAATTTTCCACCTTATTACAGCTAACACCTTCCACTACCCAACCAGCCCTCCTACAAAACTAACATCCCACTCTTACACTCATTAAGAAAATAGCAAACTTATTAACTCGTTGAATTGGGCTGATTTCTTTGCAATCCAACTCCAGTCCATTCTAAAAGATAGCCAAAATAACTCCATAGCAAAAAAGCCACTTACACTTCCTTAAAACCATATTAGGTTCAGCCCAAATCAGATCCAAACTCCTTCTCTAACTATTTCATTCAACCATTTTCAACCCACTCAACTATGCCTGAATTAGGAAGAGAATAAAAAAAGAAGAAAAAATAAAAAAATTTATGCTTTCGCAATCATCATCGCCATCACAACACTATTCCACTACTTATACGAAGGCATAATGCATAAACTCAAAAAAACTCCAAAGTCCTGCTATCGGTATTTGCGGCACGCTTGAGGACCCCATATGAACACTTTTCTTCGCATGGTGGGAGGAAACCAATGCGATGCTTACGGGGAGGTGGGTGAGCCTTTTTATGCTTTTCTTAGCCTGGCGAGGTAAAAATTTAAGTACTCATTTATGTGCTTCAATGTTTGCGGAAAAAAAATTATATTTTCAAACAGGTTCCCCTGAAGACCCTTGCACGTCTTTCTTGGCATGATGAGATTGACTACAACGACCACAATATCTCCCAACACCGAACATGCACGTCTTTCTTGAATTGGAGGACATGCTAAGACTCCAACAATTTTTCCTGACTAGGGGAGACGTCAGTAGGTTGCCGAAATTACTAGTGAAGGGAACTTGCAAAATTAATTTGAACACAAAAAGAACACATGGGACTTGAACGAAGACAAAGAATAAGACTTGTAAATTAAACAATAAGGAGCTCGACTAAATACTCAACATAAAAAATGCAAATTGTGAAATGATAAAATTAAAATGCAAGTGCACAAATAGGACCTTGAAATGAACATTAATGAACTAGCTAAGAACTTGCAAGCACAACTTTCTTATAAATAAAGGTTGACAAAAAGCAAGGAGAAAATGACTCTTAAGCACCACAAAGAATGAAAGAATTTTAGATGAATACACTAATCTACCAAAGAAACCTCAAGTAATCCTTCTATTGTCAATGCTAGTTGACATGCAAGCAAGCCTATTAACCCCTTTGCAAACAAAGGAGGTCAATGCACAATGAACATAATAATTTGTGCACTCAATGAAGTTCAAAGTATATGAAGCTTGCATACAATCGATGCCATTCAACTCCAAACAAGCATGCTAACCTGCCCCGTAAATAATAATACTCTTTTATTTTAGAGCCAACAATGAATGCATGCAACATATCATCTACAATCCAAGAAAATGATTCGTAATGCATTAGGATGTTTGGAAGCAATGTTAAAAGGATGAGGGCACACATAATAACTTCACTCACAACAAATGCTAGAACATGCTACATGAAGCATAATTCACTGGCAATCAATGTGTAATGTTTGCACAACCTTTGCAAGAAGATATAGCAACCCTTACAATCAGTGATAATAGACATGTTGCAGAAATAATGGATCATCTATGAACATAGATACACCCACAACAGGTTATATATGAGTAGATGTATTAGCTCACTATAGGTGAAGGAAATTGACATGCAGCTAATGCAAATATCTACAGGTGATGAATGAAATGATTATTATATGTATAAAAACCCACTTACGGGTGATAACTAGCGATGTGTAGTAAACATTGAATCATCCCTGCAATTAATGATGAGTGCTCATCAGGCAAATACACTAACACTTATAAGCAGAGGCGGAAGGCCTTCAACATATGTAAAGCACTCACAAGTTATTGTAGCAGAAACATTGTAGCACCCTTACAAACAATGTCAAAAAAGCACCTAACAAATACATACGAACTCTTGCGAGCCGCTATAGAGGATTCCTCATTCATATAGTACCCCACCTACAAGTGATGGCTAGTGATATGCAACCATACACACTAGATGTCATCCATGAGCAAAATACAAGAAGGCTACAACAGATGCAAGCTCCTATGAGCTACTATAGGAGACTCATTAGTACACGACAATATACCCGCATAATGTAGCAAACAACTCATGACGTGATGCCACACCATCGGATCTGCAACATTCATGCAAGAGGAAAGAATGTGACCCATTGTGCATGCATGCATATGACAATTTCCTACACTGCTTATCAACATCAAATATGTTAAAATTCCCTCATACATATTACATACATTTCAACATGCATAATAACCCTTGTAAATACGTCATACATGTTATGCAAGTGCTACACTAACATACAAGTGTATTGAACATGCAAGTAGATAATGTATGAGTGTATTATAGACATAGATCATTCAAGAATATTATGTACGTTAGTAAGTATTGTTCTATCATGCAATCCATCATGTAAGCAAAGATGACTATGCACATATACATTATGCATGTATGATTACATAAATACATTATATACTATGTCAATGTGCGAAACTATTGTATTTGATTTCAAACATATCATGTGAAAATGCACATGTGTATATTCAAATATATAAATGCATGTAGAAATATGTTAGTATACGAATGGATGTATAGACGTGTGTGTGAATATGCATATTGGTCATATACATCCATGGCATTGCGTACATATATCCACTATATGAATGTGTCAATGCAAAATGCATACTAAGTTGCATTCATGCATGGGCCCTATTGAGCGTAATGCACATACATGACATCTGAGGATGCTGCATGGGTCAAGAAGTGAACTAAAGTCTTAACTTAATCCTTCTGTGTGGACGAATAAGAGTTGACATGGCTCGAACAGTTAAAAAAATATATAGTCATGTTGTTGACTGGGATATTTTTTTATACGTTCATATTAGACCTTCAAGATCTATGACAGAGAAAATTCTCTAACAAAGGCACAAAGCCTACAATGATCCCGATCATCTATCGGCAAGTAGACATAGTCGATAATGTTCAACAAACAAAATAAAAATGTCCATAAGTCATCCTGATGATGGCTATGTTGAATTTTTATCTCAATCGGAGTAGATCATATATTTTCAAATGCCCTCAGACTTCTACAAAATATAAATATTTTCAAATGACCTCAAAGTCATCCTGATGATGGCTACGTTGATTGAAAACTTCAATCGAAGGGGTCCACAAACATTTAAAAATACCTTCCAAATGCCCATAAAATTTAAAATTTTAAAAATACCAAAATTTAAAATATTTAAAATTAAAAATAAATCATCAAACACTTAAAAGCAAAATCCATCAATACTTCACAACAATTTGCCAAGGTGGATAAATTTAAAAATTACTTTAGCTCACAAAGAGGCGATATCTAGTCAAGAATATTACTAGGATTCATTCTAAACTATCTCTTGTCGGTAAGGACATAACACATATAATCTAACTGGTGGTTTCATTGCTAAATGGCACTAGACCTTAGGCTTCACAGCTAAATGATACCACAGGTAAATGGTTATGATCCTAACCTTCTGAACCGGGTGGTTTTACTGCCAAATGACAAAACTAAATTATGGTTTTGATCACAGCTCGTATGCTACCCAACGACGTCAAATCCTTAAGATATGAATCAATAGGATATAATCAATAGGGCACTAAACCCTTTGTTAGCTGAGGAGGATTCAAATTTGTCTCCTTAGACAAATACTCACATAAAGTTTATAAGGTACAATTAGATGAAGCAACCCATGGCTGTGGGCAAGGATACTTCTGTCATGTTGGGTCGACTATCTCCTCTGACTAAGTAGACAATGGACCATGATGACCCAAGACAATAGAACCATGGGATCTTGATTGGATCCATCATATGTACCCTCACCATTTACTTTAAGTGCAAGATGGTGAAATTTCCAATTTTAAATATTAAATCTAAAGAACTAATTCCATGCTTCTATTATATGCCAGATAACACATATATGTTTGACGACTAGCCTTAATCGAAACTTCTCTCATTATCGGGATCAGTAATTAACTATAGGGCTTACGCCTATAGGAAACCTGAACTCAAATCTAAAGTCCTAGCAAAATGAGGGTGAAATCTCTGGGTAGTATGTTATTTCAAATTCAATCTATCTTCTGAAAATTTGCTTTTGAACTTAAACGTTAAAACTCTCTTCGACAACCTGAAAAAATGAAAAAGATAAAAGTGGGGTCCGCAGAGAGGCCGGGGAGCAAATTTTTGAAGCCCACAACCTTGTTGCTATGCAAGTTTATTTTCATTTTGGCACAAAATTTATTTAAAATAATTATTGCTATTTCATTGTAATATCTTAAACACAAATCATATCTCAAATAATCATCTTAAATCCTTGATTACATAGCCAAAAAGTTTTACAGGATTCAACATCTATTTTGCTAAACATTTTTTATAATTTAACACTCATAATTTACTAAATCTAAATTTATGGATTTGTTAAATCCATGAAAATTAAATCCTACTTGTATCCAAATTGCCCTTTAATGTGTCTTATTTGGCAACAAACATATTGAGTTGAAATATTTGTTTAACTTTTTTCTATCTGCTAGTTTGTTTTATTATATTATTTTAAGTTCTTGTATATAAATAGAGAGAGAGAGAGAGATTTTTTTTATTTTTCCAAATTTTAATTGTCATTAATTATTTCCCAAAAAAAAAAAAATAATTGTCATTAATTTGTCCAATTTAGTATTAGTGCTTCACACGCAAGATGGGTTGATTTGACAAAGATCAGAAAAGAGAGTAGTATTGCGATATAACAAATTAGGTGACAATGGACCAATCCAAAAACAGTGACTGCGGTTGGAACGGGAACGACTGTTCATCCGAATCTAATAGAAACATGGATGGGGCTGATTCCTTAACAATGGTGGGGAAACTCAAAGTGGAGAATCTGAATCCATATGAGATAGCAGCAAGAGAGAATGGAGGAGCATACGAGTGAGTTGAGGAGGGTTTGTGTTACTGGAGCAGGAGGTTTTATTGCTTCCTGGCTTGTGAAGCTTCTACTCTCCAAGGGATATAAGGTTCACGGCACCGTCAGAGATCCAAGTACCACCTTGCTACCTTGGCTTTTTATATTTAGTTTCTTCTCTGCTATGAAAAATCATTCTTTCTTTCCCATTTTAAGGGGTTATTTGCTATTTTATTTCTGGCGCCTTAGGAGATGGTGGATTGTACACTGTGGAAGCACCAAGAAACGGAGATCTACAACGGTTCTTCTCGGAAAAATCAAACCTGGGAAAATCCACCGCAAACCAAAGCATGATTTATCAAATAGATTTCATAAAATTAGTCAAATAGCACCAAAGTCGGAATAGAACTCTTACATTGAAGATGTTTGTATCTAAGTAATACTAAATTGTCATATCTCATTCGATTCCTTCAGGTGGCTCATAGGAAAAAGGGGTAAAATCACCTTTGTTGCATCTATCTTCGGTAAAGCAGGATAAGGATTCCGTTATATGTCTCAAAATAAGTTTTTATAATCAGGAACTCTCTGGCCGCATTTCAAGCTGTAATTGTAAGGAGAGCTTTGGCCCATCTACAAAGAAGCTAAGTGCAGGTGAAATTGAAGAAGAAGTGGGATGGTTGGGAGGGCAGGGGTAGGGTCCCAAGATATAAGAGAAGGAGAAGTTCCCATATTTGGCCATTTAATAGTAGAGGAGGTCATCTCTTTCAATTTTTTTTCATGCATGTTAGTGGTGGATGGTGAGTTATTCCTCAAGAAAGATGAATTAAAGTTTTCGGTCTCACCCCCAAGGGAAAAATAATGAGAAGGGGGAAGTTCAAAAGTCAATCATCAAATGATAGTGTTTTAACTTGTTTTCTTAACATAACAAAGTGCAATCGGTCTCAGGCTTCGTTTGGGACGACTTTTTTATTGCTTCTTAAAATAAAGTTTTAGTACAAATACTAATACTCTATTTTAAGAAGCGATAAAAAAGCTGTCCCAAACAAAGCCCTAATTCAAGGAGTAAGTTATATTAAAACTATCTTACCAATATCATGACTTCAAAATCACACCCATAGTTATAATGCTAAACACCAGGAATAATTTAGAATTATCCATGTACATTTTTTTTTTAATAATGATCCATCTACCCTTCATTGAAAATTCTTCAACTTACTGAAGAGGAGTGAATTAAACAACTTAAATAAACACTTGTTTTCAAAGTATTTGTAACCCACCCACCTACGTGTGTATGAATCTCTCTCTCTCTCTCTCTCTCTCTCTCTCTCTCTCTCTCTCTCTCTCTCTATATATATGTAGTTAGTCAGCCAGTAATATTTAAGTAAATAGTTGGTTAAAAATATAAACTTTTTATTTAAAAATTTAAATCTATGGTGCCATTTATTAAATCTGTTATATTTTATAACTTTATAATATTATAAATTTAGATATAAAACAAGTTTAAGGCACTAACTATAGGATACCATCAATTAATAGAAAATGAATCATTAAACCTCTCTATCTTTCATATCAAACATTGTGTATTGTTTTGATAAAATGGTATAATCATTGAACTTTGACTTGTCACAGGCAGTGAAAAGAATGCCCATTTGAGGAAATTGGATAATGCCACAGAGAATCTACAACTGTTTAAGGCAGACTTGCTTGACTACAATGCCATTGAGGCAGCCATTTTTGGGTGTGAAGGAGTCTTCCATGTTGCTAGTCCTGTTATTTTAAGTGGAATTTCCAATCCAGAGGTTGTAATCATTTGATTTAAGTTTTGTCGATTCTATTCGTTCCACCTATTTATAGGCAGCAGCTCTCTGTTTTCAGGTAGAACTAATAAGACCAGCTCTTCTGGGCACTAGAAATATATTCAAAGCATGCTCCAAGACAAATATAAAAAAGGTTGTTGTTGTTTCTTCTAATGCTGCTATCGCGATTAATCCAGATTGGCCCCATGGTACTATAATGGATGAGAGATGCTGGTCAGACGAGGATTTTTGCAGGGCAAGTGAGGTAATTTATTTCCTATATTTTCGTATTAGGGGTGTTTTTTTAAGTATAAGTGATATCATTGGTTGAAATTAATTTGATATTTTCAAAATAACAATAATAGTTATATTTCAACATCATACTTTTGTAACAAGTTGTTTTTTTTAATCTCATCCAAAATAACAATTTGATATGATCATAGTTCATTTAGCTCTATGATTTCGTCCTATTTGATAGATCACAAATCTTAGTTTATTTGAGGATGATGGAGACTTTGATCTAGTAACAAGCAAAAAAGCCAAAATTGGACCAATGCTGATTATCGTCGGGTCTTTGGAGAAGCATCCCACCTTCTCCAATGAGTTTGTAAGGGATGCATTGAACATTGAGGAGATATGAGGCCATAGACCTGAAATACTCAAGCAATTATGAAATAAGAATTCAAAGTTTAACTAGGGGAAATGATGAAGGCAATGCCAATAAATTGTTGTATAATTGCTACTTTTTTGAGAAAATGATTACACCAAAGAAAAATTTAGCCATAACATGCACATACTGAGAAATTAAATGCTTTTATATAACCATTAATGATCACCACCAAATTTCCCAACCGAATAACCTCTGCCCAGGAAGAGGGTCTCCTTTGACTTTTGAGGAGAATCAACTTGGACAAAGAGAAAAGTAAGATATTTTTTCAGGAGAATATAGAGAGATTTAGAATGATTATAATGTATTTATAACCTCTTCAGGTATGGGAGAGCTTTATATGTCTGAGAAGATGACAGAAAAAGGTTGGAGATGATCAAAGATGCCCCTTAATTAAGGCCTTGAACATTGACTTATAGATATTTTAATATTGACTAATCATTCTTTGTTGCTCAATCCAAAAAAATAATATAAGCCAAAGTACAATGTTGTTCATTTCAACATGGGACATTGAGAGCATTTCATAAGGTTAATCATATGAAGATTACAAGCATTTTCATAAAAAAAAAGAAGCTCAATTCATGATGCATTGGATTGTATAATATAATGTTATAGAACAAATAATTCTAGAAGTGTGTAAATTTAGTTTATTGCCCAAATTAGCTAATGAATATGATGTCTTTCATAGCATTAAACTAATGTTTTATCTCTCTAACCTAACACAAGATAGCGACACTAAACCAAATAATCAAAATATCCCAAAAGCTACTAAAAAAAAACTACTATCATTACTCTCATTATCTCCACCATCCATCACTAACCGACCATGGCCTCTATGCCATCCAAGCTAAATGTGGGCTCCAAAAATTTGTGTCTCGGCCTCTTTGCGGACCCCTTTCTTTCTTTTTTGGATCATCGAGGAGAGTTTTAACGGTTAATTAGTTCTGAGGCAAATTTTTAAAAGGAAAATTGGGTTTTAAATAAAACACTACCCAGAGATTTCACCCTTATTTTGCGAGGACTTGATGATATGAGTACAAGTTTCCTATAGATGCAAGCCCCTATAGTTAATTACCCCTCCAAGTAGAGAGAGAATTTGCGATTAAGGCTAGCGTAAAATAGATACAGATTATCTGGCATATAATAGCAGCATGATTTGTTATATGAAAACTTAATATTCTAAAATTAGAAATTCACCATCTTATACTTAAAGAAGATGGTGGTGGGAGTGATGAAAGACCCAATTAGGATCCCTTGGTTTCGTCATCCCGGACCATCATGATTCCTAGTGTACTTAGTCATAGAAGGTAGTCGACCCAACCTAATAGAAGAATCCTTATCGCCAGCCATGGGTTGCTTTGTCCAAGGATACCTTCTAGACCTGGGGTGAATATTTGTCTAAGGAGACAAATTTGAATCCACCTTAGTTAACAGAGGGCTTTGTGCTTTATCGATTATATCATATTGTATCTCAAGGATTTGAAGCCATTGGGGAACATGCAGGCTTTGACTAAGATGATAATTTAGTAGTACCATTTGGTGGCAAAACTTCTCGATTCAGAGGGTCCCTATCATAACCGTTTATCTATGGTATCATTTGGCAGTGAAATCGCCGGTTATAGGACATGTGCCACATCCTTACTAGCAGGAGGTGATTTGAGAATGAATCATATTGATATTCTCGACAAGTCATAAACTTTTTGATAGCTGAAGTAATTTTCAAATTTGTCCGCCTCGACAAAATATTGCAGGGGTGGATGTGCATTTTGCTTTAGGTGTTTAGTGTTTTATTTCAATTTTAAATATTTTATATTTTTGATATTTTTGGAATTTTGAATGTTATGTGCATTCAAGAGTTTGGGAGGCATTTTGTATGTTTGGGGTCCCCTCCGGTTGATATTTTCTATCAGCACGGCAAACATCAACTTTTTTATGGGCATTTTAATTTTATTTGTTGAACCTTGTTGACTCTGTTAACTTGTCGACTGAGGATCGGGTTCATTGTTTTCTTTATGTCTTTATTAATGAATTTTTCTTATAATGGGCTTTGAAAGCAAAATATGAATGTATGAAACAAATATCCTAGTTAATGTTGCGATGGTATATTTATTCGATAATTCGAGCTGTGTTAACTCCTATTTATTCACATAGGAGGATCGAACTTGAATTTAGGTCCTTTTTTTTACCCGCACAGCATACTCACGTGTGTACCCATTATATGTTCGTCAGGGCCCATGTATGTATATACTTGAGTATGCGCTTTGCAAGATGTATTTATATGGGAGTTATATGTATGCAGTGTAACATATCTTCGTGTTTGCACGTATGATGCATTTTGCATACTAATGCAACATGCCGATGTGTATTTTGATGCATGAGGTTATTTTCGCATGATTTAATTATAGCATGCTACACAATTAACTCATGTTAACGAGTGCGGAGGGTTTCATTTTAAGAGTTGTAGATGCCTTCTATTCGCTTGTATGAATGTTGTGGATCTGGTGGCATGACGCTGCCCTGTGAGTCATTTGCTTCTATGTGCAGATAGACTGTCATGCGCTAGCGAGTCTCCCATTATTTCTTGTAGATGATTGCATTCATCACAACTCTTCTTCTGTATTTACTAGTGATAACATGCCATATACGTAATGAGTCTCCTACAACGAATCGTAGGTGTCTATATTTGGTGAAGGTCTTTTGCATTTGCTCATGTTGTATACCCTATAGTCTCCTATAGCGACTTGTAGGTACTTGTATTTGTTACATATTGATTGCCTCAACTTGCAAGGTATTGCTGCATTTTCTTGACACTGAATCATCGTTGATTGTATGAATGTTGTAGCAATCACTATATGTTGTTGGTTACCACTTGTTTGTATATTATTTTGCATACAAAATATCTTTCATCATTGCCCGCAGATACTTGCATTTATCATATGTTGCACCATGTGTGTTTGTAAGGAGCTTTGTTGTTTGCAAATGAGTTGATGTATCTATCCGCGTATTAGTGTTGACTACCAGGTGAGTTTCATCCATTACATAATTTCTCTATGCACATTGACTTGCAGGTTATTGTATTCATTTGCTTGCTGGTTTTCTATTCATAGGAGACTTTCGCATGAATCTGCAATGCCCTTTGACATTGATTTAAGGGGGAACGGTTGCATTCACAGGTTATCCACCATTGTTGGTTGAAAATGGATTAATACCTTCACTTGTGAGTTAGTTGGTTGTTGAGTGTAGGGAAACTAGTACACCCATTGTATGTTGATTATTGGTGCTCGCAAGAGGGGGTTACTATATTTGCTTACATGACTGACTTGAATATTACACATCAACTATCATCATTTGTAGGCAATTTATTTGTTGGGGACTTTGTACATTTGCTTGCAATCAGATCATTCATTCTCTTCAATTTCATTGCTTGCTGACTGGAAATCACAAGCCCCTTACTACCTTTAACAGCAGTTTGTAGTTTACATAATGATTTTATTCATTGATGCTTGTACTTTAGCCAGCATGATAATTCTTCAATACCCCATTTGAGTTTTGTGTCATTGCTTTTGCATGTATCACCACATTTTTTATTTTGATCTTTACTTGCAAGTGAGTTGTACTTAAAAGTTATTTATCCATTACGGCTTCATGCCTATTCATTTTAATGTTTATCAAAAGTTAATTTAGTGTTCATGTTTCTTTAATATGATTGTGCATTTTTTACTTAATGTCTGTTTCCCTTTTGCACATTCAAATTCAAATTCATTGTAGTTCATTTGAGTTCAAGTCAAGCCCCCTATACATTTTCACTTTAAATTTTGACAGCCTCTCAGCGTCACTCCCTTTTAGGGGGGAAGTTTAGGGAGATGGGCCTTCCCTACCATGTACAAGAGCATGTAGAATGGGTGTCGGATGACATCACTGCTGTAGTTTTCAATCCTACCACGCTATAAGAGCGCTTAGGAATTTTCAAGGTACCTGTTTAAAAAAGGTGCAATTTTTCTTTCTCGCCGGTACTGAGGTACGCATGGGTACTTAATTTTGTCCTTGTCATGCTACGAGAGTGCTTAGAGGCCTACCCACCTCGTCGCAAGCATCGCACCAAGCTCCCCTCACACAAAATTCTTCTTCTTTTTTTTCTTTTCCCTTTTTTTTCTCTTTTTTTAAACTTCTCTTTTTTTTTTCTTTTTCTCTTTCACTTTTTTTTAAAAGATAATAATAAGAATAATATTAATAACAATAATAATTTTTAATATTAACCAATAATATTAGTTAATAATAGTAAGTAATACAAATAATCAAGGGTAACAAGAAAATAGAAAATAAGTTGTTGTGCAGGAGGAAGGCAGTTTGAGTGATTGTTGTCGGAACTAGGGTGGGAATTGACACAGATTCAACATCCAACATAACTTTTGATCCTAATTAACTATAAAACCCCAAACTATAGTATGAAAATCTACAAGTCATCATGAGCAATAGACAATAACTCCACATCTTTAGATGTGACTTGATTGGCATATCTTCTTGTATCAAAGAAAATGCAATCATTTCTTTTGAAAGAGTTTATTAGAAAGATTTTTTGTTATAAACAATGATGCTAA